AACAATGCCGGAAGCGCCTGTATTGAGTTTTTTTTCTTTCCCGCAAACCGCGCGAAAATTCAAATGAAATTGGCTTTTCAATGTGTATTGTGTAAGGGATTTATTTTGCTGACAACTTTCAAAACTATACTAAATGAAAGCTACACTCTTGTTCCTTTAAAAATTCAATTTACATTTTCCTATTGCGATTTTACTTTCTGTCGATACGTGTTTATAGTCAATTGTTTATGTTTTACGCCAAAGGCAGTTTGACTACTGCATTACATGTCTGTGAAAAAATTATATGAATAGGTTCTGTAAAGTGTCTTCATTTTTAGGTAACAAGTTTAATGTCGAAACATTGCTTCTGTTTTTTACAACAACGAGGAAAGTTGCAGAAAACGCACATTAATAAAAATCATAATTTCGGAGTTTTTTCTCGCAGTTATAACAGAATTAACCGATAAGAACGTACAAGGGTTACATGTAAACAGTCAAACTTGGTATTGTTATCATTCTTTGTCATTAGGTAGGCAACAATAAAGTACCGACCAGACCCAACCTGACACCAAAGCAGTCCAGCAAAGCAGTCCCCTGGTCTGCTGTGGGAATGCTCTAGGAATGCTCTGGGACTGCTATACAAAGCAGACCCAGCAGTCACAGCTGTCCCTGGGACTGCTTTCTGGGACTGCTTTGTTCACTCATGTGTGACAAAGGTTCTGAGTGACACGATAGCCCCGCCCTCTTGTGTATTCTGAATTAGAAGTCTCACTGTTGTTTTGTTTACTTGCAGTAAAAATAAAGAATGAATCTACTTAACACTGCAATCTCGCCCCTTTTTAAATGCAGAATTTTACCCTTTTAAATCAAAACATTGTTATCTTATAGCTAAAGTTTTCAAGTATAGTCTATGTAAATACTTATACAGGATTTTTTAGGAAAAAGGCTGCCAATATATACATGATATCAATTAAAGAAAGTCGCATATTTTACAGTAAAATTTCGCCATTACGGCTATGTAGGTCATTGTAGTACTAGAATTTGAATGAGAAGGCGGGGCGTCTATCAAGCGTGCGATTAGTGTGAATACATTAGCGTGTGTTCGAAGTGTACGAAGCTTTATAAAATTTTCAGTGACACCTAAAACCCATCTTTTTTAAGTGCAAGAGACCGACCAAATATAAGCATTTTTTCTTTTATTTGTCAGGCTTAATTTCGTTTTTTTTCTGCTAATAACTTACGAGTTACATTTTAAAAGATTTAATATAAATTCGTCAAATTATCTATATATGAAAATACACTATGAATTTTATGAATAGAACGTATAACGCAGGATATACTTTTTTCATAATTTAAAACATTCTCTTTATAGAGATGATGATTAATCCATTAAGGCTTACAACTAATCCATTAAAGCTTATAACATTTTCGTGAATAATTATTTCATAGTATGTTCATATATAATTTTGCGAAATTCGTGTGCTACAACAAAAATGGTTGAATTATGATATAAAACTTAATGTATAAAAATTTATTTTTTTCATGTGCATAGAGAAAATTGCAAGAAAGTGAAAAATTAAACGTCACTTTAACGTCACTATTTTCGCTGCTGGATATAAAAAAAAACGTCAGTGTTAGACAAGTACAGTCCAGATTACATTGTTAATCCATGCCATGCACAGACAAGTTACTGAATTTAATATTTGTCGAAATCCACTCGTGTACATTTTGATTTTTACAAACTCTCGTCCTGTACTAAAATAAATAATAAATCATTTAAAATAATTGTATACGCCCTTTTTCATTCGATTTTTGTCACTAATAATTATATTCAAATCTTTAATTCTTGTTAGATTTTGTGCCGAAGTAAAAAGTTATTACATTTGTAGTGTCATCTGAAGAAGCCCGGAGTTTCCCTCTATTCAATATTAGGGGTGCAATTTGTGCAATGTATTCGTCTAGTGACTTTTCATCCGATATATATAGGTCTTTTTAACGTCCCGTTGTTCAATGTGATGTACATGCAATATACATAGGAACAAAGGAAAGTTTATAATATATATATCTACATTTTTTTAAAATTCTGTTTTTATGAGATATAAGCAGTAAGTGCGAGGTATGTGCTACAAGCCTCCAGTATATATTGATAAATACCGGGGGGGGGGGGGAATCAAACAAAATCGAATGAAATTTCGTTTTAGAAAAGTAAATCAAAAATGTTAACGCATCTTAAATATACCGGTATAAAAAAAATTATCTCAGGGTACATTACCCATTTGAAAATAATTTGACCATCGATAGCTAGTAACACTAGACACGATGTCGCATTCATCAGCTTAAGCATGAAAGTGAATATATTTGAGTCACGTGCTCAATGCTTTGTTATTCATGAGGACAAAGGCAGGTTGAAATTTGTAAACAAGGTGCCTTTACTATAGGGCAGGTACCCGTGATTTTGCACCTTTGTGGAAAATTACATGTGAGCGCACGACTGTTTCAATTTCTTTTATGGATTAAAATGACAAGTATAACTCTTTACATTGACCCTTTTTACTACAACTTGAAACATCGATGCGCTCATATGAAAAATGGGTTTACAAAATGGGGGTGTGGCCTAATGTCTATGAGAAATCGTTGTAAACAACGTACCCCTGCTATATTAATCAGATAAATACCCAATTACAGTGCAAGGAAGTGAATATTGAAAATGAAATAAATAAACTACATTGTTTCATGGAAAGATTGAGACAAAAATATGTAGGAAATCTTTAAACTTATTTTTTGTATATTATCCACCCCTACTAATGTTATTGTGATATTTGAATTCAAGACACGTGGTTTACGTTGATCTGTTCAAAGGTTATAGAGTAGATCCGGTTTTATAAATAAAATTGGCAGTAAACATGACATTGCTATAGCCTGTTTCTTTTGAAAACATGTCCTGTAATAAATGTTTCCAGACCTTTCTGAAAGACTTGATTTTCAACAGAAACAGGGTGACTAAAGGAGGGGGTGTTAAAATAACAATATATCTTACATACTTTTTGGCGAAAATTAGAGCTCACTAGTGACCAATTCTGGTAAAAAAATGTGCATAATCATCTACACTGACAAACCTTTGTTTGCCTTATATGGCTATTGTTACAAATGCGCACAGAGGATCTTACCACGAGGAACTGACCAATCGTTGAATGAATAGCAACGTTTACGACAAATACATGACTGTTTACATTTTACTTCGAACACGTAGTTCAGGTCAATCTACGATCATGTTAATGGACTGCAAAATTAAAAAAAAATGTTCTTACGAACAAAATGCAAAGACAAGAAACTATGGAAGATGTTGAGGGCGTTTTTAATTGGTTGCGTTTAAGTCACAACACCAGCGCTTCAAGGGTAAGGAAAACGAGCAGCATCTCATGCATTTAAATGGACAAAACTTTGTTTACGTTGAACTTCGTGATCACGTGTTCGGCCAGGGAATTCACCTGGCAATTGTATTCACCGATAGTACAACAAAGGAATTGATACAGACGAAAATCGCTTTTGGCGTATGACTTTCAAAATCCAGTCTTCCGCCGTTTATTTAACAAATGAATTGTTTGTCATTATGAGCATGAAAATAATATTTTTAAAAATGCTTTTGATTTACCATTAGGTTTTCCGTTTTTTCAAGCGTAAAATTCCTCTAGTATTCGTAGTAACCCATAATGCAATACTCATTCAGCTGATTGGTCAGTTAAAATCATGCTGGTGCCTCATTTGCTAATCTGACGCCAAAAAATATAGTCCCGGTTCCCATGCAAAAATATTTGTCCAAAAAGAAATTTTAATTCATTACTGCAGAAAATTGTATTATAGAGAATATATACTTATTTAAGTTTGAATGAATGTAAGAGAGATTGATTGATTGAGGTACAGTTCTACAGACATTATCAGCTGATTCTAGGGTGGTGAAAACTGAAACGCAACATAACTTTTCTGTTTACCATGCCTCCACGTGCTAGTCACTTCCTAGCCACATTTCCATGAATAATTTACCCTATCTCGCTGAAGTCTCGCTAACTCTCGCCAGAGCCATTGCCAGAGCTACTCTGAACACATCGGGTTTTATAATTTGCAGAACACCGAAAAATAAAAGTTTCCGAACACATTAGTAGGGGTGTTATCGGGGGCCCAAATGTGGACGTTTAAACGATTCAATCTTTATTCTTTGAAAATCTTCTTCTTTGCTCCTGAGTATTAAATGAACCAACTAAGTACTTAGTTATGATGTGGAAGAATACCTTTGTAAATTTTATGACCCCGGGGTCAGGGGTTCTGTTGTTAGGGTGGGGTTCTATTGGTTACATAGAGAAAACGCAAAAATTACTTGAAAATTTTCTTCTCTGCTCCTGGGTATTGAGCAGATAAACTACCTATATTGTTATGATGAGCAAGGGCCATTCTTACTGAATTTCAACGCCCCTGGGTCAGGGGTACCATAGAGTGGGGGTGCTCTACTTATATACTGAAAATGAATTAATTGATTGAAATCTTCTCCTTTGTATGAATCAAATAATTTTGATAAGCAAGGGTGCTTTTTCCAAAATAGTGAAATGTGTGGACCAAGGGTCAGGGATTCATGTGTGGTAGTGACACTATCCTGATTATTGCTGAATATTACTGATTAGTCGAAATGCATTTTTTTGTTCCCCTACTCTGTCTAAGGGTATTAAGTAACCAAACTAAACATGCTAAGTGTATAGTTATGATTATCAATGGTGTCTCTTTCAAAATTGTGAATACCATGACGCCTAGTTTAAAACATGAACCAAAGTCTGTTGCATGATGCTCAGGTGACCTATAAGGCCCATGGGCCTCTTGTTTAAAATAATATTTTTCATCTTAAATATGTTAATTAAAACCTTGTACATTGTAAAATGTTCATACAAAATAAGATTTTTGATTGATTGCCTTAATGAGTGCATTTTGGAAGTTAATCCTTGTTGAAGTTACTGTAATATAAATGTATGATATAGGGACATACTACGGAACATGAAGTCGAAATAAGTGTTATTGATCCAATATTTGATGGAACCACAACTACCACTGCAAATCCACCGACTGGTACTACAAAGCCCCCAGTTTTCATTGGAGGACACAAGGAGCACAGATTTAAAATCAGATGTCTCAACATCCCAAATACTGGAGTTAATAAAACTGTCGCTCATGTTTTTCAGGGAGGGTACGTATAGTTTATTCAAAGCTTTTTGATATATTATTTAAGAAATAAGGTATCATTTTAAAACATCTATCGGGCTATAAATACGGGTTGGTCACGAGATTAAATTCCATAAAGCCCGAAGGGCTTTATGATGAATTTAATCTCGTACCAACCCGTATTTATAGCCCGATAGATGTTTTAAAATGATACCTTATTACTTATATTTACATTTGTGACATATTCATACTTTATATTTGCCTGATTGTAACTTTTAACGCGTGAAATGCATTATTTTTCAAAAGCAACAGCATGTATATAATCCACTAAACGTGCGTCGACCCTTTATAACGTCACTGAGAAATGACGTCGATCGTTTATCCATACGCACATCTATGACCTCTTGACCCCGTACCTGTATTTATACAGTTATAGATACGCATTGCTTTCAGTAGTGTTATATAAAGGAAAACATTTGCAAATGTAAATATTTATGCATACATACTTTTATGTAGCCTCTTAACAATGCAATATTTATCTTATGCCAGACTGTAAATTAAACAAATATGTTCTCTCTAGGTTATTTGGCAAATTTGATGTTAATTGCCCATTCAACCTTGTCTGCAATAAATATTAGATATTTAGCGGTTAAAATATATAAGAATCACAACAGAAGGCATTTTTTCTTCTCTTTATGAAGAACATTTTAAGGAAATTCACAATCCTGACCTTGATTTAAATTGTCAAACATGAATGTTTCTTTTTTATTTATTTATGATTGTTGTTTATTTTTTATATCTCTAACTCGCTAAGCTTAATAATCTTATTTCTTTGTGTAATTCTATAATGAAACATGATTTGCTTTTTCAAATTTTCAATCAAGGTTTGCACATGTAAAAATTCAGTTTATTTTACTCCATACGCTATATGGATATAGAATATAAATAAAAATGTAGATGACATGGTAGCTTTTAAAAACATTTTTTCATTCATATTTTTTTTGCAATGTATAATTTGCTTAATCTAATATTCTTTGTTGTTGTTTTTTTATTTTAATTTGCAATATGCTTGTATATGCATGTTACTAGTATGTATGTGTTTGTCCTTTTTTATGATTTTTCTTTCATGAGTTTGGCACATTTTAAATGAAATATGACAATAACGAACATAAATGAAGAAAAAAATTCACGGATCATTAGAAGTGGGATTAAGTGCAATGGAGAAATAATCATTCTCTCTCAGCTGGTTACATTCACTCTACATGATTGTGTAAACAGAAAAAAACATTGATAATTTTATGTTAAATAATGACTTTGCAATTCATATTAAAAAATCAAGCTTTATTCGCTATAATTAAGACTTATATTGCAGGGAGGTTCATTGTATCGACTTAAAAATATGCGAATTGATGAGTTTAACTCCAAACTGTTAATATTTTTTTCATCACAATATTTGTATATGTTTGTATATTTATATATATTTGTATATGTAGCATGCATCAATTTAGATATTGTTTGTCTTTATCATAAAGTTATTGGTAAGATTATCATGAATGTCAGGATCTAAGTAAAATATTTAGATATAAAACAGATGTGTCAGACCATGTTGTATCTTATTGTTCAAAATATTGATCATGAAATCATTGAAATCATGCATGGATCTTGATACATATCGAATATAAAAAAGGTACTTAGTCAAAGCATTAATGCAACACGTTTTAAAGATACAATGTCTCTGTAATATAATATCCTAGTTATATTGATGATGAAGTTTAATTTTAGGCCCCACAAACTACCCGACAACCACAAAGAGGTGTTTCCCGTTGAGATGCGCTTTAAAGCAACAGAGAACATTAAAGCTCCTGATATCAGTGAGATCTATATTGGAGATGAATTCTTTATGTTTCTTATATATACTGGAGGTATGTATGAATTGAGTAAGTCATGACATCCAAAAACTCACGATGGGTCCCCTTGTGTAATTAAAATTAACTTCTAGTGAACTGAAATAGATATTTGTTTGTGTTGAATTAAAATAAAAAGGTTTGTTTCATATTGTTAAGATAAGATCGATCCTTTTTTTTTATAACAGTGAGATTTAATTTGCCTTATTTTTTTTTACATAAAATTTTTTTCAAGGAAAGAGAAAACGATATTTAAAACTTAGAAATGTATAATTGAATTTATATAGGTAAAATAAAATTAATGGAGATAGCGAACTATATACTCGTAAAACAATGCAAATTGAGAGCAGAGCAAACATGAACCTCTTAAACATCAGTCTTGGGCTCTTTTTTTATTATCTTACTGTCACAGCTCAGTTTTATCGATAATTTCTTCTATACTGTATGTACAAATAAATAGTAGAGAAAGTAACTGGTATATTATCGATTTATTCCGTATATAGTCGTGTATTTCTAGAAGGGAGACATAATTAATTATCAGGTCTGAGTAGGGTTGCCACCGGAGGAAGGCAACCCTACTCCTATTATCATATGTCTACTCAACAGACAATTTTTACGTCATTGTTAGAATTAATTGTTTACCAATCCCACATATTTAGCAATTGTACATTTATAAATAAGAGTTATCTCACGTCAACCACTGTAATTTCATTCGTCAGTATTGAAAAACATTGTTTAAAGACAAAACATTATAAAACGCTTGATGTTTACATGTACATTGAACGAGTACGGGAAAGCAAGCTAAACGCTACACGTAAGCTAAATACAACTACAAAAAATGTAATATTTTTAACTTTTATATCTCAACAATTATTTTCAGTCTCTAAGTACAAAGTGATACCTAAATCTTGTACAGCGTATTCAGGAACAGTTGTCATTGGAAATTCAGATAAACAAGTCTCTCTGTGGGATGAAAAGAAGTAAGTTCAAATGACAATTAATTATAAGCTTTTATATTGTGTTTGAAGCTTAAAAAAAGCCATATTTTAAAGATAATGTTATTTTCAATAAGGTTAATGGTAAGATTGTTTGTATGAAAGAAATATGAAATTCTAGGGTCTCGTGGGTCACATTGCTCTTGCGAGTTTTTATTTTCTTTATTTTAATTTTTATACAAAGACTTTGCTGATGCCACTTTGATTAACATTATTTTGGGTTTTTTTTTTGGATTGATCCAATCCCTTTGAACAGTTATTTTGACTATATATACAGTAGCATACAATGTGTCAAAATGCGCTCTGATACTTTTTTGGGACAATAATATTTATATTGGTTAACACTTTTTTTTCTTTTTTTCTTTTCTTTTTCTGAATATGTCTCAATTTAATTTAAAATACGTTCTATTTCCATTAGTGAGAAGTTATAGTTCTTAGTGCGCTCTTTTGTGAAAAAGTCGGAGAATGTACAAATTTCACGGGATTTCTGGGACATAGTCGTAACATAAACATGTAAACAACATGTTGAAAGTCGATGGACAAATGCTAACAAAATCACTCCTACTAATGTTATTGTGATTTAAATTCAAGACACGTGGTTTAGGTTGATCTATTCAAAGGTTATAGGGTAGAACCGGTTTCATAAATAAAATTGGCAGTAAACATGATATTGCTATAGCCTGTTTCTTTTGAAAATATGTCCTGTAATAAATGTTTCCAGACCTCTCTGAGAGACTTTCATGATTTTCAACAGAAAAAGGGTGGCTAAAGGAGGGGATGTTAAAATAACAATATATATTATATACTTTTCGGCGAAAATTAGAGCTCACTAGTGACCGATTCGCTTGTAAAAATGTGCATAATCATCTACACTGACAAATCTTTGTTTGCTTTATATGGCTATTGTTATAAATGCCCACAAAGGATCATACCACGAGCAACTGACCAATCGTTGAATGAATAGCAACGTGTACGCCACTAAGTCTACATGTTTACATTTTACTTCGAACACGTAGTTCAGGTCACTCTACTATCATGTTAATGTGCTGCAAAATAATAATAAAAATGTTTTTACGAACAAAATACAAAGATAAGAAACCATGGAAGGTGTTACGGGCGTTTTTAATTGTTGTTAAATGAAAAAAAAAATGTTTAATAAAATGTATTTTGCGTCTAGTTCAGAACACCAGCGCTTCAAGGGTAAGGAAAACGAGCAGCATCTCTTATGCATTTAAATCGACAAAACTTTGTTTACGTTTGTGATCACGGGTCCGGCTAGGGAATTTACCTGGCAATTGTATTCATACTGTATTTGTACTCGTGTTTTCGTGAGGTAATCCACCTGACAATTGTATTTATCGATAGTACAACAAAGGAATTAATACAGACGCAAATCGCTTTTGCAGTATGACTTTCAGAAACCTAGACTACCACCGTTTATTTAACAAATGAATTATTTGTCATTATGAGCATGAAAATAATATTTTTAAAAATGCTTTTCATTTACCATAACATTTTCCTTTTTTCATGCGTAAAATTCCTGTAGTATTCGTAGTAAGCCATAATGCTATACTCATTCATGCTGGTACCTCATTTGCTAATCTGACGCCAAAAATATAGTCCCGGTTCCCATGTAAAAATATTTGTCTAAAAAGAAATTTTAATTAATGACTGCAGAAAGTTGTATTATAGAAAATACTTATTTATATCAGTTTGAATGAATGTAAAAGAGACTGATTGATTGAGGTACATTTCTACAGACATTATCAGCTGATTCTAGGGTGGTGAAAACTGAAACGCAACATAACTTTTCTGTTTACCATGACTCCACGTGCTAGTCACTTCCTAGCCACATTTCCGTGAATAATTTACCCTATCTCGCTGAATCACCGTGTATATCCCAACATGCGGGGTGTTTGCTATGTTGCGCGCGGGGTGTATGCTTCTGAAGCGAGAGAAAGGGAGTCAATCTACGTTCTTTGTCCATTTTCTCAACTTACGGATATTTTTCGCCAGAAAGCATATGCCTACGGAAGAAAGCATTATGTAAGGAGTATATGGATACAGATGAATCCACTGGACACCTTCTAGTTTTATCAAACACTTCAACACAATTCTGAGGATCGGAGCAAGATTGACGCTACACTGTGTTTATGATCGAATATCAGAACAAGGCTTTGCTTTATCGTCACTTTTATATTATTGTTAAATACATGTTTACAATATAAACGTTTGTACAAATTGTCTGTAAATAAAACAGTTCGTATATAAAGATACTGACGAAAAATCGATGTTGTGTCCGGGGTGTATGCAACATGTTTTACGCGGGATGTATACCCCTCTTTTTACTCTATAGTATCATTGTCTGAAATGTCATTAAAAAAAATCTTAACAACTGACGTTTGTGATAAAATTTCTATTTTTTCTCAATTTTTCACCAGTTTTGTAACTGCACAACTTCGGGTCAGTCGCGGCCGAGATACGAACTTACGACCTCTCGATCACGGAGCGAGCGCTCTACCGACTGAGCTACCTTTCAAGAACGGTGGGAATAGTTGAAGAAAAATAAATAATCTTGTCCTTCCATAATGATCTATTTCATTTAAATTCTTGACTCTCTATTTACGTAGACATGTGTATCGTGTATGAATTTTTCTATACAATTGTTGATGCTTTGATTACTCAGCAAAAGGTGTACACCTTCTGAAACAGGAAATTTAAAAAAATCATTTTCAATATGACGTACGATAAAAAACATTTTGAGTGAAATTGATTTTAGACTAAAAATACTTTGAAACTTCTTTAAATTATAACTTATATTTCTTTACATGGGAAATGATACAAACATTCGCTGCATTGCAATAAAATTTACATGTATGCAAATTAATTTCTTTGAAAGTAGGAATGGAAGTGGATGCAATGTAAATAAAGGATTACTAGACACAATGAAAACATACAACAATCATACTAATACTACTGCTGCAAAAATGTATGGGTTCAAGTTTGAGGGAAGTGATTTCATTACTATATCTTGTGAAGTTGGTGTCTTCCCAGAAAATTCTCAAAAGGTAAGTGAAGTCTAAAGCATATTCAATCTTAAAGGACTAAGAAGGATATAATTCTAGATCTGTCGCTGCCAATTTCTAGGCCAATTTTAATGTTACAACATTGTATCATATTCGAAATTAATTGAATTCTTATCATAACAAGTTCTTCGATTGGATAAATTTTTTTTTTCGTGTAGTATTCCATTATGGTACACACATAAGTGTTAAGTTGCATGCAAAAATTAGAGTAAATTTTTGACATTCAATTCTTTGTCAATTTACCAAGGATCGTAAGTCACATCATTCCTTGCATTTACAAATTATAAAATATTTTATTACCTAATCAAATTATTTTTTGTCATTTATTAGAGATTTATAATTTTTATCTTTTCTGCATGTGTTTCCAGTTTTTCGTATCTCTTGAAACCGATCTATTGACTGTCGGTCAATTGACTGCGACCTATTGACTGGCTGTTAGTAAAAACCGATGCGGGTTTTTAATTTATATGTAACATTGCACATACATAATAAACAATCATTTTTTGTTACTTTTGATAAACATTGTAAAAAAAAATATAAGATTTCAATGGTAGGATGCACCATATCTAGGTATTAATTTACAATGATTTGAATGCATAATGGTACAGGGACCTTCTGTTATTGTAATATTCAATTGTGAACACTGAATGCAGAAAATAATATCAGGTAATAAAACAAATACTGTAGAAGTACTTTTTTCCGCGTGGTATTAATTTACGATATGTACGCGGTCACAAATTTTCCGCGAAAATTTTACCAAGCGTACTTAATATAAATGTCAGGCATATAGTGACAGTCTTAGAAATTTTCTACCCGTGGATTAAACAGAAATTGTGATTCCGCGGAATTATGACCCCACGGAAAAAAGTACGTCTACAGTATTTATTGCCTGAACAGTCAATAGACGACAATAATTTTTCTAGTTTCTAGTTTATTGACTGCTCAGACATTAAATATCTATATATTATACTGTTCATCAATGCATCCAGTGAAATTGCTTTAGCCTTGATCTTCAGAAAACTTGAGGGAGACACTGTTTTTTGTTTCAATCGAAAACTTAAATATCAATTTCGAAATAATTGTACAACATATTTGTACTTGTCAATCAATTTTTTTTTTCAAACAAAATAGATTTTCAGAAGACAAAACTTAAGTTGAAAAATTATAACTAATGAAAACATATCTTTTTATGTAAATAAGCCTCGTAATCTAATTATCCGTAGGGTATTTTACATAATTTTCATAAATTTATTTTACATATATTTTATTTTAAGTTGAACGGTCGATTTTTAGCTGTTATTGTCATTGGTATAATCAATTTATTTTAAATTTTCTTGAACTCTTTTAGTGATAAAAAAAATCTCGTGCAATTTTTGTACAGTACTTCTGAAGTTCCTCCTTCGTTGCTGTTAATAATATTGTGAGGAGTTATGAAAAGGGATTGGTAAAACATTTAGTGGAACTGCTTTGAACATCTTAAAATTCGACCTTTCATCTTCATGTAACTATTACGTCGTCTAAATACAAAGAATCTATTTTGCACTTTAAATCAATTGTTTTTTTTAATCGTATTTTCATTTAGAAAATATGCACAGCAACCAGACGGAGAAGGGATACACGACCTTGGAGAAGGGATGTTGTAGATACTGCGATTCAGAGGAAGAACGTTGTCGGCAAATTAAGAGTAGTTAACCATCCCTCCGAATATAAGAATATGGCCAGTAAAACTGGAGGTAACGATATTATTGTGATGATTATCGGGAATAATATTAATTTTTGTGTAAGTGGAAGTATCCGAAAAAAGTAATTCAAATATTTTTAGCATAAATATATTATAATTCTATGTTCTTATCGATATCTAGGTCTTCATCACGCATCAGCAATGCTGAATTAAGTTTGAAGTTTGCTTTTAATGATGACGAAATTATTTTCAAGTGTGTCAAAAACACCAAAAATCAAAATTCAAATATGAAAAGGAGATCAAAACACTTTCTTTGGTCATTTTGGTAGTGATACACAAAATGAATCATTTCATTCCTTTAATTCATTTATATACTAACTTCCACATTCGTAAAGTCTTTTTATTAACGATTTTTATTTTTAAAATCTAGGAATCTTTTTTTCGATTTTTTATTGATGATCAAAGGTAATCTTTTCACCAAATGTTACAAAGGTATTATAAAACAATTAGCATACGCATGCCGTTCTTTAGTTAGAATAATCTAACTGTGTCTCGGTACAGGCCCTCACCACAGTTAGAATACGTCCCATATACTTGCAACGTAGCAAATCGGAGCGGATCCGCTCCGAAACGATTTTGAAGAATATAAAATGATTTGCACTGGGAATAACTACCAAAATAATCAAAACAAACCTTCTTGAGATTGCTTATGCCTTTTATCCCAAAAAATAATCCATATAAATACGTAAATCCAATTAATTTTCTCAACGTTTTTCTCTCCATTCAAATGTTTACATTCGGAACTCTCTAGATTGTTCCTAGTAAATGCACTATCGCCCGTGTTTCTTTCTGCTACATTACGTATACACGGAAAGAATTCTATCGTTAAACCGGGTCCGTAGGACAATATCATTTTAACGATAGAACATTCTATCTAGCCGTTCTTATACGTGCCAAATTCAAAATAATAACTAGGATGAAATTCAGTTTAAGCTTCTGTTATTTTAGTTAAATTACGTACTTTATCTTTTTTTACACAAAAAAGAGAAATTTTTTTGCATATTAGGTAATTACATTATTTAGTAAATTTGGATTCATCTTACGTTTTTAATAAAGGTTATCACGTTCACCTTGCTTTGCTATGAAAAAAATTAGGCAATAGAATTTAGTCTATAAAATCCTGAAATAAGTCGAATAAATGAAATAGGCTAAAACAAGTGAGGGAAAACTAAACTAGAGGTACTGTGAGCAATGAGCTCAATAAATCATACCCCCAGCCTCCCATAACGTCCATGTTTTGCTATATATTGTTTTACGGTAATGTGTAAAGAGGAATAACTCGTCCTATCAAATGTTATCCAGAAGATTCTATACGTGACGTCATAAGTAAACATATAATGGCAGTGTTCATGTTTTGCTATAGAAAACCTAAAATACGTGTCGAATAAAATTATAATAGGAGGTGCACAATGGCAATATGTAATAAAGATTCTGTGAAAGTTTAATTAAATTTCACTCAGTAGTATAAGAAGAGTTGCGGATAAGAGATAAAGCGTACCAGACAGACGGACGGACGGAAATTCCGATTACTATTCACCCTCCCACTTTTCAAGCGAGGGGTATAAAAAAAACCTGTATGTACACAGCAGTCTTTTTGATACTAAAATACTTAGTGATTTCTGTTCTGGAATCAAAGATTAGATGTTATCTTGAGTTTTGGTTGGATACTTAGTATATATTTTTAATTCTCTTTTCAGTTTCATTTGAATGTATCAAGCTGTCCCTTGGAATTATGATATTGTCGTCACTTTTAAGCATATTCAAGTAAAAAGGACTTTTCTAACTAGACTGGTTCATTTTTTGTTTCATATTGGCATGTTAACTGTATTTTACTGCATATGTATAGGAAGAATCATTGAAAAACAAATGTATTTTTAAACAAGAATGTCAGAAAGGGAAATCAAAATCAACGGATAGTAAAATTTTTATATGGATATTTCTGTGTTGTTTATTAACGGAAATGCAAAAAAATTACATTCAGAATATGTGATACATGTAATTTTGTCTTATTTTCATTTTTCAGAAATTCTGTTACAATTTATTTGAATCCTCAATGAATTAAAATGAAAAATAAAATTCAAGAACTACCAAAGTTACTTATTTTATTTCTTTATGAGTTTTTTTGAGAATATTCATGGGGAAATATCTTAGCATGATTTTAAATGTAGTCTTTAAGCAACATGAATCAGAGAGAAGGCACACATCATGGGGGCTAAATTACATGTAACATTACACAATACAGTCAGCAATAACAAGCACTAAACTGACATCAAATCTAAACCGAAATATATTTTAGCCAAATTACATGTAAGAGCAATTAATATCATCTAATATTTTGTTAAAATGAAAATGTTGCTTGCAATTCTTTTAAACCACTTTAAATGCAAAGCATGCCGAGTATGGGACAAAATTTGCAGCTCTCTACCAGCAAATGGTGGCGTCTACATACATGACTGTTAAATAAAAAATTCTCGAGAGGAACCACACGCAAACAGGTATTTATTCAGTGTATTTGCTATAAACAGATCCAGCACAATACCCTGATAAAAGTATATAGCTTGATAAGCTATATAGCTTTATCATGGTATTACAAATACCTTGATCATGGTATTTTATGTAATGAAAATTCAAAAAAATTCTAAAAAAGTTAAATAGTCGAATTTTGTGTTTTTGACAATGTGTTCACTCGTGCATGAAAAGCACTCTTGTATCAAAAAGACAGTATAAAACAACGTCTCCTATTACGACATGCTTTTATACTGATTTCTTTAATTTGTGCTTGAGTACTTTACATGCATGAGTGAATTTACTGACACAAACTCAGAACTCGACTTTCAGAATTTAATTATTTAAGATTTTTTTTTTGAATATTCATTTCATAAAATACCTTGATCAAGGTATTTGTAATTCATTGATAAAGATATATAGCTTTATCAAGCTATATACTTTTATCAGGGTATTGCTGGACCTTACAAGTGTGTGTAATGAATCAATTTTCATTCTTTTCTGATAATGAGCTAAGTAGAGGAAAAAAAATAAATGCAGCAATACATAAATTTCAAAGCATTTTTAACAAGGATAAAAGTAAGAAAGTCCAGACAAGTTTTTGCTATCTAGGTCGCATGGTTACATGGGTAGTACAGTGTTACTGGAGAATAACCACTGTTTCGTTATATATTGGATGAATTTACAACGATAGGAAAACACGGTTCGATACATGAATTTCTACATAATGTTATAGCTACCTGCCAAATGTTCAAAGACAAAAGTTTACCATTTTTTAGTATTTTTTAGTATTTTGAGGTCAAAAGGTCAAGGCCATAAGTTTAAAAATTCTTTCTGTTTTAACACTTTTGTTTCCATGCGAGAATGTTAAAGCTTTTGCAACATTTGGCATTTTACCAAAACCCCCTATGCGCTAATTTATTTTCAATTACGTTTTATACAATAACTCCGTATGCCCCTCCTGCCCTTCTTAAAGTGGCACAACTCCCTCTATTTCCCCTCTCTCCCGGGACAGCACATTCTCTTCTTTTTTCACTTCAGCGGGGAACGTGGAATTCCTGAATTACCGTGTTCCTTGCAGATTTAGATTGAGACAAGACAGGGCTTTTATATTTGATATGTTTATTATATGCCACAAGATGCTTCGGAACATGCCTTGAGTTTTGATCCCTTAAAATTGACCTTCATGTTTAATGCTTTTGATTTCAGTTTTACCCAAATTTAAAAAAAAATAAGAATGTGAAGTTGTGTGATTACTTTTGAATGATATATAATAGGACATTCATAAGATACAAAATATGCCTTTAATAATAGAATCTCAATCAATGAAACGCCAAAAGCGGGGAACCGAGGGAAAAACTCTGGTCTATTGATTAATCAGACATTTTAAAAACTGTTTTTTTACCTTATACATGTATAATGGTGTGTGCGTTTATTGGTTATGTCGTTCCAGTAGATTGCCGGTCCGAAATTTTCAAACTATTGACCTTCAATCCAATAGATCACTCTGAAGTTCCTTTATTCGAATTCGTTCAGAGGAATGAATATACAGAGAAAATAGTCAAAAATACTACTATGATAAAACAGCAAAATCAAGTTTAAAAATGCCAATGAGACTTCGAGTGAATATGGAGATAATTTCCTATTAAATCGGCATTGTGATTAAAAAAAGTACAATTCCAGAATTACAAGCATTAGTCCTTCGCACTATTTAGCAATTAACAAAGACATGAAGTATTGGGAACTAGTACTCGGCATTTAGGTAATTTCGGACAATGCTTTTTTTTTCTTATTTTAGCAAGATTTGATTATTTCATTTTTCAAGTAAAGCAAAAAGCCAATACTATGCATATAGGAAGAAATTCATAGTGAAACTTTTTATCAATCTATGTAAACTTTAAGAGTTCCTTTTTAAACCTGCAATAACTCAAAATGTCTTGCATTTACGTACATCTTCTACATGTATTTTGAATATTTCATCATTTTTTGGCATTTTCCAGTGATAAATTTATTTCAGTAATACTGACCTATTTGAGACACGGTAGGCTCTGCATTATATCAATTTCTTTTTTTAATTAGGAAACAGCAAAAAGGGTACAAGTTAATACGCCAGTTTCGAGATTGTAACTCTCCTACGATAGAGGCGCAAAAAGTATCCATTTCGGCAGGGAGGTGGGACAGGTTGTTTCTGTACACAAACGTGCATAAGTAAATGAACGATATTTATGGCTTTTAAAATTTATTAAATGTTATAAAAAGATAATGATATTAAGCAGTGATGCATTTGATGATTTTATCAAGTTCAACTATGCATATTTACAAATCTACTTTAAATTATAGGTACTTGAAAACGAAAGTAACGTCATAGTCTTAATAAAAAGTAACCGATTTTCTTGATCGTACAACCTTCTTTTTTTTTTTTTTTAAAGTTTGTGGGTTTTTTTAAATTATAATAAGGAAAAGAATCAATGTGTCATTTAGATCGCCTACGTACAATGATCAGATGCATGTGTACCGATTTTATTAGAGGTCATAATTTCTCCCCTCGTCTGAAAAGTCTCACATCCACCGACATTTTCTTTTTTGTTACGATTTTTTAACTTTAAAAAATGACTTCTTTAAATTAATTCGGTTATTCTCGAAATGTAGAGTGCATCCTGACAATCATGTAGTTATGATAAACCAGTATATCGATGATACAATGTATCCAATATATAAATATCAAATATAGTTGTCCCACCTGTTTGTTTACGCGGCAACGAAACTCCCCTCCTTATCGAAAGAGCGCGCCAAGGGAGATAATCTCGAAACTTGCGTATTAAACTTCAGCAAGCCAAACATAAATTTTCTTTGTCCTTCTATTTAGCTCTGTCTGCATGTAATAACTTAATTTCGTATGAGCACGTTTCAATATACAAATTACTGTTATATTTACTGCTTAAATAAGGGATATGGGTAGAGGAGGAAGGTAAATTTTAAGGTTAAAATTCAAAGTAACTTTTTTTTCAACTTACAAGTGGACAATTCCTCTGTCTTGTTGGTTTGTCAGAAATTTCAGAATGGTATGCCCCCATAAAAACTATACTAATTGCCCGGGAGAACCCCAGAGTTTAGATATCACTAATTATAAGCTAGTATCAAGGTCAAATTCATGATAAACTGTTTCGCTCATTTTCCATATAGTTTGATGTATTATATGTTATATTTTTGATCAATAGACTCCATATTATCTATATTACAGTAGGTAAAAATATTGAGACTAAGGCAAACAACTGGAGAAATTCAGATGTTTCGGTATAAAGATGAATAACACAGCAGGAAGATCTCCTTAGAACTCCTTTGAGTTTCCACAGGTGAAATTCTATTTTTTTTTTTTTTTCAACATGAACTTCTTTCTACGCCATAGAAAATCGCATATACATATAATGAATTTCTACAGTATACTTTATTGTTACCTGCTCGAAGTTCAAGAACAAAATGTGATCCTTTGTTAAGAACAGACTGTAGACACATGTAAGGCCTTGTCAGTTTTCTATTTTAATCTCAAGAGTACACTAGGTCCACGCTCACAAAGATATACTACATATAGTATATTATTAAATCCCTTTCCTCCTCGTGCGTCATACTGCGTTTTTTAAACATTCGACATAAAATGATTTTACCTAGATTGTGACAAAAAATATGTACGTCTGCGTTTTATTCTCTGTCTAGGAAGTATCCTCTTTTTAGACAAAAGAACTACTTCATTTAATGTTTAAACAATTTTGGCAAAGAAGATTCTTTCTAATCTTCATTATACCTTTCTAGTAAAATAAAAAGATTTTAATCAATGCCGGTATGAAAAAAAATAATGAACCTCTTAGATAAATGGTACAGAGGCTTGGAGTGAAGTGACTGTCTGGCAAGTTTTTAATATAATTAAACAAATTGCTTTTAGGTTATACATGTAAAATGTACATAGGTGGTGTATGACCCCACGGCGATATATAATTTTAATCTCTACAAATTTACTATTCATACAGAATTAATGATCAATTTAGCAAGGCTATTTTTTTCCAAAAATGCATTTTCAGGGACCTGAGAATTCCATTAGTAATGCTCCTTATCAAGCATATGTACATGTCCATTACGTTATCCCGATTTGTATGACCTAGATCAATGTATGACATCTAAAGAATTTTCAGAAATGGAAATTTGCAATATTCTCAAGATCTTATTGCTTCTATCAAGTAAGTAGAATCATTTATAATCATCATCCCTTTTGAATATCTTCACTTGCATAAAACATCTGCATTTACGTTTGATCCCCATTCTTTAACTATACTTGTTATCATTTGTAACAAGGAAATATATGAACATGTATGCTCTTTTGAATTCCGGTGGCATTTATTGCTATAGCCTAAAGTTTTCGTTATTACTGTAAACAACTTCGTATGAATTACCATTTACAAAGTCTGCCTATTTTGTAAATAATTGTAAATAGTAAAGGAAAATTAATATCATTTTTTTTTCAATATGAAATACCGAGTATGAAATGAATAGTTCATAAAAAATGTAAAAAAAAAAAAAAAAAAAAAGAAAATGAAAATGCATATTCTGTCTATATTACATGTGTACATTTATTTTCCATTTACTTGAAAAAATATTATGAAAGCCACCCTAATTTTTCATTTATTATTTAAGACAAAAATAAACATTCTTCCTATTTTGACCTGATTCTCATTTTTTCCCCTTTCAGTTACAAATGATGTTTTGGGTCTTTGCAGTGGTACTGCAGAACGTAAGTGCATTGTCATTTATATATCGTTTCTTTTTAATTGCAATATGTAAACCTTTATGTATTATGATGTAAACATGCACGTACATAGGGCAAACCTTTGTTATCTAAGTAGTCATTTTTGTTATGTGAACGTGAATCATAAAACTTAATCCTTCTAAGTATTAATCTTAAATAGATTGATATTAAATGAGATTAGAATTTGAGTAACTAGAACTCAGTCTAAATTTGCCGACTTATTTAAATTTCTTTTCTTCCTGTTTAAATTTCAGATCACTGCCATCATCTTTGTCCTTCAGGAAAGTATGATTGCGTAAGTCATGACCATACTGATAACCATGGTTGCATTTGTTATCCGGCGGACTACTGTGACAATACAGATTACCCTTGTTCACCCTTACACTGTCCGCATAATGAACTGACAAGATGTAACGGACATAACAAATGTGAGTGCTATTGCAGCCAGGACAGTCATTGTGAGAACTGTCCAGAGCAGGGCTTCTGTATAAACGAACAATGTGTCTGTGAATCTAATAACTATTGCCCTGGAGGAAATCAATATTATTGTCTCAAAAATTTCCACTGCCAGCATAGCGAACAGAAGAGGTGCAATTCGAATGACAGATGCGAGTGTTTTTGCAATCAAGACAGTGAATGTAAAAACTGTCCTGAGAAAGGATTTTGTGTTGATGGTCAATGTGTTTGCGAGAGTCATGATTACTGTGCAAAAGGAAATCATTTATACTGTATGTATCTAGATGCAACATGTATCACGGGATTTACAGCCAAGTGTAATGGCTCTAATCATTGCTACTGTGCGTATGTCCCTGATACCTGCTCTGGACACGATGTCAGTAAATGTTATCATCTGAAATGTAGACCAGGAGAGAAGAAATTCTGTGAAGGTAGAACCTGTACATGCAAACCATTGGACTATTGCAAAAAAGGCGATACTGATTGTGGACACAAAACTTGCGATGGTACCTTGGGGGAAGTGACTTTATGCGGGACCAATAACACCTGCCAATGTCTAGCTATTCCAGATTTCTGTGGAGGCAGGGACACATCCTCCTGTACACACCTAACGTGCAATCAGTACCAGGTGAAGGTCTGTGACAACGGAATGTGTAAATGTCAACTGAATCCATGTAAGTGAAACAAATTTTTTGAAAGTTTTTTTATTTCATTTTTTAATCAATTTTTATTCCTAAAAAATTGTTTTAAAAATAATATCAACTGCTTTATTATTCCTATTTACATTTCCCTTTAACTTTCCTTAGCCAATCATTATAGAAATAATTCGACCGACAGAATAGGTATTTTGCATATATCGTGGAATCATTTGAAATCATGGGGAACAATGTTGGTAACCATGCAAAATGTTGTTGGCTCGTGGTGACATAATTTCGAGATTCCGTACATTGTACATACGAAAGATTCAACGAATAGATAAATGGTGACAAAATCATTTTTGTGGTGATGTAAATTCGTGGATAAGGGTGACCTACGAAGTCCACTAACATAGCTCCCCAAGAAAAATGATGATGTAAATGTAATAAGATGTTAAATTAATCTGATGGATTTTTCATCCCATTATTCATAAGCAAGAAATCTCTACCTACCACCCCTCGGGGGGAGGGGGTTACTGCAGAGAAATAACATAATCTTAGGCGTTCTCGTTATGGACCCTAGCAGCACTGTAATGTAACATCCCTGCATGAAAATGTATACCATTTCCTAAGCGACAATGGACAATACATTCTCAATTGTAATTCTTTTTATATACCTGTGAACATTATCGAACGCCTCGTTGTAAACCAAAATTGTCATTAAAATATGAAAGGCAATTTATGATATGTTGTGGTTTTGGGTTCAAATCCCACTACAGGATTTTCTCCTAGACCGTATAAATCAAGGTCTCGTGTCGATACATATAACGGTGACGGCTGATGATTGGAAAAAAATATTAAAATACATAGGCTTCTAATAAATAACAATATTACATGTACTAGGTTGGGTTTGCCAAGATACTTATAACAACTTATATATTTACATTTTTTTTATTTCCTATAGCCTGTGATTCAAACCAAGGATTGAATCACACTTGTACTAGTGCCAACACTGTATTAGAAGAAAAGGATTCAAATGGGTCTAAAATATATAAAAACTGTTCGGATGATATCCACCTTTTTCCTATTTGTTTAGACGGGCGATGTCAGTGCATATTTTGGAAGGTATTTAATTTTTTTCTGTCTTCTTTTGTGGTTGTTTGCTTCTTTTCTCTGTTTTTAATGCTTATTTGGTTGTTTATTTTTTTTATTTTTAAGATTATCACATTTATTAATTTATTGTAAAAATTTGAACATTTACAGTTTCTCTTGCCTTTTTATGTCTAAATGAGCTATAGTAGGTGAAAAGTAAAGAGTAACAAATATTAAATTAAGAAATAAGCAATGTGATATTCAATGGATAAAATACATGAAAACATGACTTAAAACTTTCAGCAGATATATCGACGGGATGAAAAAATTAAGGAAAAAAAAAGAAATGAAATGTTTATTGGAGGTAAAATAATTGAATTGGTCCGTTTCACGACAGTTTGTCAATGGAGAGGGCAAGCGAACGCCTTTTTTATGAATGGCCAAAATAAAATTAATTTGACAAGCAAACCTAAATTTGCTTAAAATATTACAATAATATGTACAATGATTGTCAAAATCAGACCCGATCTGGATGAAAAAAAATTAATACAAAATAGATTGTGCCAGGCTCTCACCACATGTACTTACTTTAATCACTGCTCTTTCAATGAACCTAAATATTTTCTTTTATTATTATTTTTTTTTAAATTTGTTGACAAGAAGATACGAAATACAAACTTGTAGACAGAGTTAAAGAAAAATATTTAATATGATTCTTCAAATAGTTGGCAAGAAAAGAGATTTCATCCAACTCGGGAATAGTAAATAATTATTAAATAACAACTAAACCATCAATTCGGTATTTTGAATAATATATATTATGGCTTAGGTTGTTGTTTTAAACTTCTTGAAGCTGCATCAAATATGGTTATATTTTTAGACACCAGCACCGCCTTCGCCCACGACAGTCTCTACAACATATAAAAGTGGTAAGCAATGTTCAGATAAAAAAATATATTTACGCTGAAATTTTACTATAGTTAAAAAAACTTTGATACTTTGATTTTCAAGGAAAAATCAGATATTTAATTTTGTTCAATTTACCAATCCGATGTAACTATACTTTGGAAATTGAGCCTACTATCACAGAAAACATCAACACACTTTAATTGAAATTCCTTGTGAAAAATGCCAAAAACAACCATTACATAAACCTACAGTATTGGTTACAAAATTTAATTGTTGCATTAAATTACCGGTAAAAACGAATACTTAAATACTGGAATATCCTGCCAATAAATAATGAATTCAAATCGTTATGTGTAACTCAACTGTTTATCGATCTCTCACAGCAAACACAAGAACTATATTGAAGTATTGATTACTGATTTGAATACGTGCATTTAAATTAAGGACCGAAAAAAGAATTTTAAAATAATGGAATATCGTGCTTATAAATATTGCATGTGAATCCTTATTTGCTTTTCAACTGAGTATCACTAAAGGGAAACAGAAAAATCAAAAGTAACAAAATAACCAGATCTCACTTAAAATATAAACATCCTGTTACTTTTGCTGAATCCTGTGGAAGCTAATTAGCTGTCAGAGGTTGGATCAGGTACTAGGGAGGAGTGAGCTCTTGCTGCTGACCGGTCACACCCGCTGTTTGTTCCTTGTCATGAACGGAAAATAACGGGAAAATCCGTCGTCAACTCACTGTATTAATAATGAACTAACAATTAGTATGAAAAACGTCAGCGAGCATTTGACTCAATGATAAATTATAATTGGTGACAAGGTCATGGTTTCGACCAGAGAACCTATGAAATGATGATTTTAAAACGAGACTGCTGATATTCTTGTTTCAACAATTTGTTTGTCAATCAGAAATTGTTCATACGTAGAGCATGTTCTAACGTATCGAATCAACTGAGATATGCAAACTCCGTATGCAGGTGATGAAGGTATATTGCTGCATAGGTACATGTAAGGGAAGTTGACGATAGAAAAGTTAAAGTCATCAAGTTTATCATAGAGCGTGGTTGTTAGATTATCATGAAAGTCTTTTTCAATTAAAATATCTAAGTATGAAACAGATGTGTCAGACTCTGTGGTATATTGTTTCTCAAGCTCACCAGGATATATAGTATATAGGAATGGAAATTGCCATTGTTAATTGACAGATAGATAGATATATATATATATATATATATATATATATATATATATATATATATATATATATATATATATATATATATATATATATATATATATATATATATATATATATATATATATATATGTATATATATATATATATATATATATATATATATATATATATATATATATATATATATATATATATATATATATATATATATATATATATATATATATATATATATATATATATATATATATATGTCAATTAACAATGGCAATTTCCATTCCTATATACTATATATCCTGTATATATATATATATATATATATATATATATATATTATATAGTTTTGTGCCATGCGGATTGTGGGTTATTTTGCGTCTTTTTCACTCACGTTGTGGGTACCATGGATGGTTTATGGGTCATTATATATTGACCCACAAACCATGTGCCTAAAATTTTGTTTATGACAATAATATAGTAACTATATTCATTTTTTACAAAAAAAAATTTTTTGACCCATAATTACACAATCAAAAAATGACCCACAATGCAATTTTATATATAAGAAATCTTACCGCTGAGTACATCGGCAGGATTTTGCGCGTGACCCACAATATTTTATATACTTTCCCATGAGTATTGAAGTGATAAGGAGAAACGGCTAGATTTTATAGCCTAATTTCAGTGATTCATTGTTAAATTGTAACGATTTTTTTTATTTATATGTGCGAGATTTTATTTTTGATGTACTACATCGTATAAATCTACAAAAAAAAAATAGTCTAATTTATATTAAAACTTTTTATCGTACGATAGTTGTGTTCTTCCTAAAGTTTATATATCTAAATATGAATTCTTATAAAGATGTGAAAGAAAGCTTCAATTACACATTTTTGAAAAAAAAAAAAACCCGACTAAAATGTTTCTATAAAGATCGCGCGTGAGATGTGAATCGCGATGTTTCAATAATTAAAAAAATACGTTAGGTTGAAGTCTCAGAAAATCATTCACAACTAAGTCTTTAGATTTATTCAGAAAGAAAAATCACACATTAAGATTTAAGGTAAGTGTTATCAAATCAACAATTATTTAACATTTTATAGATTGAAAAGTATATACTCAGTATCCGACGGTGTTCTATATATCCAATGTATTGACCCAGAATAATGTATAGTTGCCTGTATTTGGATCCCGCAATTTCTATATCTTTTGGGAGGTCAACATTACCGCTACATTGCAAAAAAATTTCAATTCATTTACGCTACATTTCTTTGAAATTAGATTTCAGGTGATCAATACCGCTAAATTTTATCAATAAGACTACTGCCGATTAAAAATCATTACCGATACATATGGAATCAGCCAGGAATGGCACAGAATTATACTTGTATACTGACCCACAACTCGCTTCTGTACATTGATCCCGCAACATTATATACATATACTTATAGTTAATGACCTACAATTCTATCATACATACCTATATAAATCTTAAACAATATAAGTTAATTTAAAAAATATATCACTTATGACAGAAAATGTCTCTTAAAATAAAAGTTGGACTACGTAATATATGCTTGCTTTTACGTGTAAAGAGTAAAACACATTCTGCTGCATCTGACTTGTTCTATAAGACATAGACACAGCGGTTCTTGATCATGCACAAATAAGAAAATATTATCGCACTCTGTATACACTTTTCCTACCGGAGTCGGTGAGATTTAATTTCCTAAATGTGTATTAAATCGTCCACTATTGCCTATTGACGAAATATAAGCTTTACAAAACATGTAGTGAGTCAAAATTATTTATGAAAAAAATGTTAAAAACGTCAAGCACCTGTGATATGGAATACCTAATACTAACAATCCAACAACCAAATGTGTATATATATAGTAAAGTCAGAATTTCAGAGATGTGATCGATTAAATCCCTATACGACAATCTTTAAAGAGAAATATTAAATTAATCAGATGTTATGTAAATACTAATTGTTTTAAATCAGCAAAGTCGCTATATTTAAATTTATGTTTATATATTATTTAGGACCTTCTCTACACCGGTGCAAAATACTTTTAAGATAGGACTTTCCTGTAAATTACACAGTTTAAATCAATCTTGTTTCATAAATATCAAAGATTTTTAAAACAATAACCAATTAAAACATGTATATGTACATTGAAAAGGCAACGAATTCAATCTCTTCGGAATTAAGCCGCAACTTCTCCGTCCTTTCCGACTAGCGGAAAAACAACTTCGAATGTATAGGCGTCGGAACCGGGGGGGGGGGGGCTTAGCCCCCCACTTTTTTTTCCAAATATATACTTAGTATAGACATTGAACCTTGTTTCGTAGGTTTACCCCCCCCCCCCACAGTTCCACAAACACCTCGAAGTATAGGTTAAAAATGGGTAAAGTTTTTGAGTTTTGAAAAAAATTTAGGTACTAAATTCGAATGTTTACCACCCCCCCCCTTTTTTTGTTTTTTGTTTTTGCTTGCCAGGTTTTTTTTTGGAGTTAAAAAAATTTATTACACTTAGTTTCATAAATATCAGAGATTTTTAAAACAATAACCCCCCGAATTCAATCCCCACTTTCAATTTGCTTCCGACGAAAAACAATGGAATGTATTGCTTAAATAATAATTGAAATACCTTTTTATACTACATGTAGTATGTGAAGTATGGAGTTTAACTTTGATATTACCTAAAATATACTATAGAAGGGACTTTTTTAAGTTATTTATATTCATTCTGTCCGACGGGTATATTCTGTTTTTGAATAAACTGGAAAGATGTATATTTTTTAACATCCGGTTATGTTAATACATTCGAGGCACTAAAAGCTAGCACACTAGCCTGATCCCCTGGCTCATCCTTGCCAAGGAGTACAGAGACAGGGAACCAGCTGCCGACTCGCACACTAATCTCAGACGTCAAAGGTGTTCTACCATCTTGCTGATTCAGTCATGTGATCATATTTGAATTTCATTCAAATGTTTACCTTTTGAAGACCGATTAATTTGAATTGTGGTACGCACAACACTAAGTTTTTGCTTTCAAAGACTATTAAGAAATGGTTG